TTTGTAGAGCATCTCTCTTAGTAAATGTTCCCATCCTTGTCGCTTTCCTTGCAGCGGCCTTTGTTTCTTACGACGATTCCCACACGTTCATAGCAACAGTCCTGATCAGCAAAAAAAAAAGAGGTAATTTTAAAACAACACTTGGTAATAAAAATCAGTTGCATAGATCGGCAAATGTAAGGTTTTCAAGAAAAGAAACGATTTTAGCTTTGTTATCAAGAAAACGCCTATTTTTGCTCAGTTGTACTCAGAATGGATAGCTTCTAAAACGATATAATATCAACAATATCTTTAAGAAAGAGTAGAAATGCCACCTTCTGAGTAATTAAATTAGACTTGATTTTGCTGCTGCCATGTTTCACTTAGCTGCTTGGTTTTGTTAGTATATGGGTACGAATGTAGTGTATGTATGTTGTAATGTAGTGTATATAGATCTACATGTAGCTTAGCTGATTTCTTTTTTCTTTTTTTCTTTTTTTTTTTTTTTTGCTGCCATTTACTTGACCATGACGGTGTCCAACCAGAAAGCTCTTGCTTCTTTGCCCACCGTTCACATAGGATATTTATTTACCAAATAAATGCTTTTATGCTCCTCAATAAATTACCTAGTTATTAGTAATAAATCTGTCCTGGCTTTGGTCAACCGACGCAACGAGTGAGAGTTGGACATGCCTTGTAAAAATAATGGGGCATAAATAAATTTTATTTTCATACAGCTTTATATTTTCACATTTTTTTACGATTAATCTTCTTTACTTTAAATGTAAATTGTATCTAAAATTTCCTGTATAGTGTAAATAAAAGACCTGATAGGAAGGGTAATATGGCTTGCTACCACAGCACTGAGACGGCTTTCGAAAAACGCTTCCAGAGCAGCAAACGTGAGTGGAAGGGGTGTAAGAGTTCTTTCTGTAAAAATAAATTAAAAGCAATAGTTTTGACGTGGCGAATGGGCATTTTAGTCTTCTGACGTACACGCAAACGGGTATCCCCACAGGACGGGGCGGCTGGTGCTCTCTCCTGGGTTTATGTTGCAATAAGACAAAGTTAATCATTTTGCTCTTATTATATAGCCTTGCTCGACTTGACCTATAACTTTACATATTTTGTAAATTGACTAAATCCTTGCGAGAATTGCGCTTTAGTTTGTGATTGGTGGACATACTGTCAATAATTGACAGTTGCTGAAATTGGATAATGTGGAAATTGCCGGTGGGCGTTATGCGAAAAGCTCCGTTCTAATTCCTTCTTCTTCTTCCTAGCGTTTTTCCCCTCTCCAACCACTTCTGCGTGCAGGCTAGAAATGTAAGAATTACACTTACCCACAACATCTGTATTCTACTCCGCCACATGACCAACAGTAAGTCTCAACAACTGCAGGAGAAGAGATAAATGTAAAGATGTAAGGCTAATAAGGTTCCGATTCACCTTAAACTAATGAGCTGTTTAAATTCATCTCATTCATTACAGATTACCTCCTAGCCCACTTCCCGCCCCGCCCCCACGAGGACAATGGCCAATGTAAAATGGGAAATTAGAGGGAAATCCAGGGCGCCCGACACAGCACGAAAGGTCACATCTTTTTTAAATACCTGCTTAAAGCCGATCGACGACAAACATTTCGCCTCAAATCAACGATATCTCAATAAAAGGTTATTGACGAACTCCAGAGGCAAGCAATTATATAAAGCCATTGTATTTAAGTAAGAATACTCAGCCCTTTATGAAACTGGCAAACGAATAAAGAGCCAGTTACTTCCTCCTCTTTCATGAAAGATCAAGGTTTGCAGATCATATTACAGTTCGCTGTACACTTATACTACTTGTCGGAAAGACACCTGCTGGCATATTCCTGTATTGATGATCACCGTCAGGCCGGGAGGGATTGGTTAAAAAACTGTAACACTTACCAAACATAAGAAGCACGGTGGCAGCAAGAATGCGAGAAAACTGAGCCATGATTCCTTTTGAAATCCAAATTCTAAAAAATAAGATAACGCCGATGACCAGCATAGCTTATTAAAAAACAAATCATCTTTAAAAAATAGTAAGTATCTCTGTCTATCAACCCGACCAACCCTCATACCCCCTTTGCCTAGTGTCTTGAGATAAACTTAAGGATGGTGCCTAGTAAATACAAAAGTCGTTACTCCAAAGTAGGACCATATGGAAAAAGAAGATCTTAGCAAGGACTACTGGAACCCACAAAGAAAACTAGGGGGTAGCGACGCATTTGTCCGAGATAATTAGCCTTGAATCTCGAAAAAAAATTGCTGGCGTCAGTATTTTTTCTGAAAAAGAAGGAAAAGATATTTCTTCAGAGATTTCAATTCGCATTTACCTTCAGAAATGCACACACATTTATAAGTAAAGATAATTTAAAAGTCTGCATACGAGTCAAGGGGCCCATCAGGCCGGACTTTATCCGGGTTTCGGCAGCATGAAGCGACTACAAGTATTTCTACTCCGCCCTGGATGGGATGCTAGTCCATCGCAGGGT